TGCCGCCGACCGCAGGCGGGGCAGAGGGCACCGTGTCGCGCGCTGCGGCCACCCTGTGACGCTGCGCCGCATCGGCAGACGCCGGCCGCCGCCTCCGGCTCGGCCCCTCCATGTCTGCACCTTGGCCTGGACGTGCGCGTATCGCTGCGACGCCGACGCCGCCCGCCGCCGCCCGCGCACCGAGCCTGCAGAGCCTGGCCGCGTCGTTCGCGGCTTGACGCCGACCACCGCCAGCGAGAGTGCAGACTCGCTCGGCTGAGTAAACGTCGAGCCCGAGGCCCGGAACTGGAAGCCTGGCCTGGGCGCCGTCCGCGCCGACGGCGCCGACGACGGCCGCGCCCGCCGCGACTGCCGGCCACCCTCGCTCCCGCTTCGTGCGCTCCCGCCTGCCGCCCGCCGCGACTTGTTGCGCTTGGAGAGGTGCGCCCGGACCGCTCGCGACCTGCGGAGCGATGCCGACGCCGACGACCCACGTAGTCCGGGCCCTGCGCTCACCTTGCCCTCGCCAATGACAAACGTCTGGTTGGAGAGGTCGGAAAAGGTGACGCACTTGCGCGGCGCGGTCGACGGCCGCCCTGTCGCTCGCTGCCGCTCGCTCGCGGTACTGGCTGAGCCACCACGCCCGCCCGCCGTTTCCAACGCCTCGATCACTCGCCGAACTTGCAGCCGCTGGACGGCTGTCTGCGGCGAGCGCATGTCCTGCGGGTACACGCGGGTGTCGTGCGCGTACTGGACCCATTCTTCGGCCTGTGGTGCAGAGAGCCCGTATCGCAGCGCAAGCAAGATACAGGCGATGGTGCCAGTTCGGCCGTGCCCACCCCAGCAGTGGATGTAGAGCACGTCCCCGGCGAGGACCCGCTCGTGTAGATGCCGTGCAAAGTGCTGAACGTCAGCGTCATCAGCGACGCCGCAGTCCGGGATGGGAAAGTAGAGAAACGCTGCGTCGTTCTGTGTCAGCCCTAGCTCTGGTTCCATCAGCAGTGCCCGCGCGTCATCGATGTACGGCCGGATAGCCGTCCCGCTCCGCCAAGCATCAGGGTCGGCATACGGGTCAATCTCGTCTTGCAGGCACACAAACGCGGTCACGCCCGTCTGTAGAATGGCCAGCAGCTGTTCGCGATGAACATGGTCATCGAGCGAGCCCGGATAAGCCCCGAGCAGCACCGTGCCCGGAATCAACCAGTTGGAGTAATCGGTCGGCCCTCGCAGCGCGCTCTTTGACGGAATCCGCACCTTCCTTGCACTCTCTCCTGCCGCCGCCACCTCGCCAGCTTCGCCAGCAGTAACAGTACTACCAGCACCAACAACGCCACTCTCGTCCAAGGCGCCTGCGCCTGTGCCTGCCGGACTATGCGGAGCAGGACGGCCCAAGACCGAGGAGCCACCGGCCGTACAGCGACTACGAGCCTGACCCCGACCATGATCACTAGCTACCAACCCGTCGTCGCCCATACTGCTTGTGTCGTCATGATGTAGCAATGATGCACCCCTCTGCGAGGCTGTGAAGAACAAGACAGGCGAGTCGGTAGCCCTGGCCCCAGCCGACCTCCTCTCCGGCTCCATGTCCAGGGCGTGTAAGGAGGGGGGGGGGGGGGGGGAGGGGGGAGGTGGAGAGGTGGAGTGTACAGAGGGTAGAGGGTGGAGGGAGGGTGGAGGGAGGGAGGAGGGAGGGGGGGAGGTAGTGGGGTATGTGACCGTGTGTAGTACCTGGTGGTAGCCGTGGTGGTGGTAGCCGTGGTGGCAGCCGTCCTCGTGGTTGATGTTGGTCGGGCGGGTACGTATCATGGGCTTGATGACATGGAAACATGGAACGACCAAGGGATGAGAGGAGGGGAATGATCATACTCATGGTCGGCGTGATGACAGATGGCATTGGTGTACATGTCCTTGGCCGAGCCAGGAGAGACAGTGCCAGGACGGCGAACCTGACTGAGACCACCGACACGAGCAGGACCACCGACACGAGCAGGACCACCGACACGAGCAGGACCACCGACACGAGCAGGACCACCGACACGAGCAGGACCACCGACACGAGCAGGACCACCGACACACTGCACTACACCACACACGCCACATACATACCCTCTCATCCTACTTACCCCCTGCCCCTACCCCCCCCTACCCCTACCACTACCCGCGCACTCCCACCAGACACCAACCTGCACCTGAGGAACCTTCTCATTGTGTGGCACTGCTCTCGCTCAATCTCGCACACGCACACGCTCACTCTCGCTCTCGCTCCATCACTCTCGCTCTCGCCCACGCCCACGCCCACGCCCACGCCCACGCCCACGCCCACGCGCTTGCTCACACCCACGCTCGGTTAATCAATCACACGGACAAGATCATGGCGTCGATGTCGCGGAGACTGGACTACGTCGATGAAAAGTACGGCGATGGCTCGTCTTTTGAAGGCACGGTGCTGCAGGCGACCGGCGAGCGCCACGGCCACGGCTTCCTGGAGATGCGCAGCGGTGAGTCATACGCTGGCACCTTTAAGCGGAACAAGTACCACGGCATGGGCAAATACGCCTACGCTGATGGTGCTCGGTATGTCGGCGAGTGGTCGCTCGGCGCGCCGCATGGCCACGGCGTGCTGACTCTGCCCGATGGCGGCCGCTACGATGGCGAGTTTACCCAGGGCGCCCGCTGCGGCGAGGGAACCTTCCGTGCGGCCTCTGGCTCGGTCTACACCGGCACTTTTGCCGACGACGTGCCGTCGGGCCACGGCACCGCAACCTATCCGGACGGCTCGGTCTACACCGGATCGTGGCTCGCCGGTGCCATGCACGGGCGCGGGACGTATGTCTTTGCCGACGGCACGATCTACATTGGCGAGTTCGAGGCCGGCGTCATGGCCGGTGAGGGAAAGACCCGCTACGCCTCAGACGACCGTGTTCACTCTGGCAGCTACGCAGCCAACAAGCCCAACGGTCGCGGATCCATCGCCTACATCGACGGCCGCAAGTACGTCGGCGACGTCCGCGACGGTCGGCCTCACGGTCACGGCGTCTTCTACTGGCCAGACGGCGCTTCATACGACGGTCAGTGGGCCGACGGCCTGCAGCACGGCGAGGGCGTCTTCGCTTCGGCGCTCGGCAAGTCGTACACCGTCCAATGGTCGTCCGGCCGCGTCGTCCACGATCCCAACCCGGGCTCGGACGCCTTCCGCTACGCTGCCGCTGTCGACGCGCACCTCTACTCGGCCCCGATGCCCTCGACACCCGCCACCAAGCGCGTGCCTGGTACTCCGGCCAGCCAGAACTCTCCGTCGCGCCGCGAGAGCGATGATCGTGTCGTGCCCAGCAGTGCACCCGCCGCCGCCTCGCACCCGCCGCCGCCGTCTTCGCCTGCCGCCGCCGCCGCCTCACCGTCGCGCCGCCACGTCAGCTTTGCCTCACCGCAGCAGCAAGAAGAGACTCGCCCCAGCAGCAGCAGCGACGTCCATCGGCAGAGCCCTTCACGCGCGCCGCCCCAGGCGCAGGAGCTCACGCCCCCCTGCCGCGCTGCGCTCGCCAAGTTTGCCGAGCGGCCCGGCATCGCCGACGTCATTCATTCGTACGATACCAGCGGCTCCGGTACGCTCACTTTTCCTCAGCTCCGCCAAGTCGCCCGCAAAATGCAGGTCCGCCTCACCGGTGAAGAGTCGGACGCACTCCGCTCAGCCTTTGCCGTCTCAGACTCGACCATCGACGCCAACGCCGTCGCCGCCGCCGTCGCCTCCATCGTCGCTGCCCTTCAGTAATAACCAGCGCAAGCCACTGTCTTCCGGAACCATCGACTCCTATCATCGCTAGTAACAAGGCGCCCCCGCCTTGCGCGTCAGTGCTGCGAGTACTTGTCTGCCATGACCACCGTCGCCTTCCTCACCTACGCGGCCGATCCCGAGCTCAACAAGTCCGATGCCGCCATTGCGGCCGCACTCGCGGACTTCGACATCGTCGTCGAGCCCGTGCCGTGGCGGGACCTTGCCTCTGCCTCCCCGCTGCCCGCCATGGCTGTCATCCGCTCCACCTGGGACTATCACCTGGCCGGCACTGACGCGTTTGTCGCTGCGCTGACCTCGGCCGCCGTCCCGGTCTTCTCGCCGCCGGCGCTTGTGGTGTGGAACGCGAACAAGGCGCTCTACCTCCCCGCCCTTGCTGACGCGGGCGTGGCTATTGTGCCGACGGTGGTGGCCGAGGCGAGCATGACCCTGGCCGACGCTGTCGAGCAGCTCGGCACCGGCCTCCCGGTCGTGGCCAAGCCGGCGGTCTCGGCCTCGGCACGCAACACCTTCCGCATCGAGTCGCAGGACGATCTGGTGGCGGCGGCGGGAGTGGTCGACGCCGATCCGGCCGCCTATCTCGTCCAACCGTTTATGGACGAGATTGTGACTGCCGGCGAGTGGTCACTCGTCGCGTGTGACGATGTCGTCGCCTATGCTGCGGTCAAGACTCCCAAATCGGGCGACTTTCGGGTCCAGGAGGAGCACGGCGGCTCGACCTCGATCGTACTCTGCGACAATCTGCCCAACGGCCTCGTCGACGCCGCGCACCGCGTTCTCGCGGCAGCCCATGCCGCCTCGGGCGTCGCCGATCCGTTCCTCTACGCACGCATCGACGGCGTTGTCTCGGCCGAGACCGGCGAGTTCATTCTCATGGAGCTCGAGCTCATCGAGCCGTACCTCTTTGTTGCTGAAGCTGCCGCCGCTCAATCCGCCGCCCCCACCCCCGTCCCCGCCCATCAATCTGCGCCCGCTGTCTTTGCCGCCGCCATCGCCGCCCGCCTGGGTGCCCATGATGCCGCCGCCCTCTAACCGCAGGCCATGGCCTACCTCGGAGGCCGTGTGTTAGTCCGATCGTCGCCGACTCGTCCGCCACGCGCACCTGCTCGCACTTCACTCGAGCCATGTTTGCGCTCCGCACCTGCGCCCGATCATGGACGAGCGCGGTGGTCGGCCTGCCGCGCCTGCCACCACATGCTCTGGTAAACGCATTCGCACGCTCGGTCCGCAGGCAACACTCTGAATCGCGGGTACGTGGCCTACCAGTGCGCTCAGACCACGGTCCGGTATGAGCTCGTGGGGCGGTGGCGGGTGAGCCGCCAACGGTCGGTGCATGCACCGCCCAACGGACTTTTTTCGCAATTTGTCGTTGCTTCCCCTCCTCGACCTGCCCAGGCACACATGCCACTCACAATCAATCGGTACATGTGTCGGTGACAGGATCAGTCGGACCTCTCGTCTGGTGCCCGGCTGACGCGAGGAGTCGAGGCCGAAGCGTTGCTGGCTGCCGAGGTGACAGCGTGCGAGGAGCTGGCATGTCCGGCGTGCGCGGCGAGCCTCAGTCTGGCGTCGTCGACGGCGGTCTTTCCGGACGTCGACGAGTTTGGTCTCCTTCACTGTCGGTCGTGTGTGGACGGCGGCGGCCAAGGGAGCATGCCGCTAGTGTACTGCGTTCCGCTTGAGAGCCGCAATGGGTCAGATGCCGCGGCGGTGGCAGCGGCGGAGGCCAGGCTGCGCGCCGAGTTCAAGGCGCTCGTCGAGCACGAAGGCGGGCCGTCGGCATCGCGGCACACGGCGTGGAATCCGCACGAGCTGGCCAAGGCCGCAGATGCGCCCGCCCAGCCTAGTGCTGCCGAGCGACGCTCGATCATGCAAGTTGTGCCGCCGGCAGAGCTAGTGGCCACCCTCGACGAGTACGTTGTGGGTCAGGCTCACGCCAAGCGGGTCCTCTCGGTCGCTATCTTTAACCACTTCCAGCGGCTGGCCATGCTGGAAACGCGCAAAAGCGGGAATAGCGATGGCGGCGTGGAGACCGTGGTCGAAAAGTCCAACGTACTCCTGGTCGGGCCGACCGGATCGGGCAAGACGCTGCTGGCGTCCAAGCTGGCGCAGCTGATTGACGTGCCTTTTGTGGTTGCAGACGCGACGTCGCTGACCGAGTCGGGCTATGTCGGCGACGACGTCGAGTCGGTGCTCACCAAGCTCCTCGCCAACTGCAACTACGACGTGGCCGCAGCGCAGCGCGGCGTGGTGTACATCGACGAGATCGACAAGATCGCGGTCAAGGCCCAGTCGCGGTCAATCACCCGCGACGTGTCCGGCGAAGGTGTTCAGCAGGCGCTGCTCAAAATGCTGGAGGGGACCCAGGTCCTCGTCCCGCCGTCGGGTGGGCGCAAGCACCCAAACCAGGAAATGATTCCGCTCGACACAACGAACATCCTGTTCATCTGCGGTGGCTCGTTCCAAGGCCTCTCCACACTTGTCCGCGACCGACTCGGCGAGCACGCCGCTGGTCAAAGCTCATCGATCGGCTTTGGAGTGCCGGCAAGCCAGCTGGCGGCTGGCAGTTCCGGCCGTCGCGCCTCGGCTGACGATGAGGCCCACGCCGCGCTGCACCTGCTACAGCACACGACGTCGCAGGATCTCGCCGAGTTTGGCCTCATTCCCGAGATGCTCGGACGGCTGCCGATCATTGCGCCGCTGCATGAGCTCTCGCGCGACGACCTCGTCGCTGTCCTCACCTCGCCGCGCAACGCGCTCACCAAGCAATACGCGCAGCTCTTCAGCACCTACTCGAAGGCCGGGGTGGACCTGGTCTTTGACGATGCAGCGCTCGATGCTGTCGCCGACGAAGCCATTGCCGGGCGGACGGGTGCTCGCGGCCTCCGGTCGATCCTGGAGCGAACGCTCCTCGACGCCATGTTTGAGGTCCCGAGCACGCCGGGCGTACTTGTGGCGCGGGTGAGTCGCGACGCAGTGCGCGGCGATGCCAGCGTCGCGCTCGAGCTCGCCGATGACAGCAAGGCCGTGGCATGAGATCTTCTTTTCTTTAGAGGCCGGCGCCGACAACGACCGCCGGCGAAACGAGGGGAGGGGTAGGAAGCACACGGCACACACAAGCAGCGTGCGGCGACGTGCACAGCCGGAGACCAGATGAGCACGCGCTGCTCACTGCTTCTGAACCGGCAGGAAGAGCTTAAAGTCGGAGGGCAGCTCGTCTTCCGAGTACAGGCGATCGGAAAAGTAGATTCGGCGGATGCGGCAGTTGGCGTGGAGCTGGACCCGCTGCGTCTCGATGTAGTTTGTGCCGTAGGCGCGACGGCAAAAGTCTGCAAGGTTGAACTGGATCTGGTTCCACCCCTCGTCGAGCTTCATGGGCATGGTGCAGATGAACGGCTTGATGCGGGTGGTCGTCTGGTAGTTAGACGCCCGGAACCGCCGGCGCACGTTCTTGTCGTCAAGGATGGTGATCTCAAAGGTAAAGTACTTCTTGAGGTTCTTGACGATCATGATGATGAACGGAAGCTTGATGCCGAGCGTCTGTTTCTTGGCCGCCGGGCAGGTGATGTAGTTGGTCGACACGTTGGTGCCGATGATCTCGATGACCGACGACAGGATGTCATTGTCGGTGATCCGCTTGATGTGCCCATTGCGGACCTTCGAGTCCCAGATCCGCAGCGGCTTGGACCTACCCACCAACCCCGTGTCACATACATGCTCACTCCGCGTGAGTCGCCCTCTCCCATCATCCTCGGCCTCGGCTCTGCCGCTCGCCGACCGACCAACGGCTGGCGAGCCGACGCAGACACAGTCCGAGCCCACTGCACGACCACGCATGCACATGCTGTCACCACCCACATCACAACAAAGCGCACAGGTTTCTCTGTCTCGCTACTGCATGAAAAACTCTCTTTCTCGTAGTCTCCTTGTGGGGAGTGGGGGAAGTCGGCCGGCTGCCTCTCGGCAACCGCCAATTTTTGGAGGCGCGGGCGACGGCAGCCGACCTCTGTGGCACTGCCTCAGCCACCAAAGGGAGGTGTAGGGCGTGGCGCGACGTACCCGATAGAGTAGAGGATGGAGAGGAACCCGCTCTGGAAAGTGTTCTTGAACATGGTGGATGCACGAGACGGGTTGCCCGCCTCCCCCGCCCACCGCCCTCCCCACCGCCCGCCCACCGCCCGCCATCGGTTTGGAGCCAGTTGGCGCTGAGCCGTTCGTTCGTCTGTTCGTTGAATCGTTCGTTCGTTCGTTCGTTCGTTCGTTCGTTCGTTCGTTCGTCTGTTCGTTAGTTCGTTCGTTTCATCGTTCGTTCGTTCGTTTCATCGTTAGTTCGTTCGTTCGTTCGTTCGTTCGTTCGTTCGTTCGTTCGTTCGTTCGTTCGTTTCATCGTTCGTTCGTTCGTTTCATCGTTCGTTCGTGTCATCGTTTGTTCGACCGACAGGAAGGCGAGGGGTCGGGTCGCACATGCGGTTTGGAGTCATTCGGCTTCCACGTTTGCGAAGAGAGCGACAGCGACAGGCAAGACAGGGGGGAGGGGGGGAGAGGGGGGGGGGGGGGAGGGGGGGGGGCAGAGGAAAAGACACCTCACTTTGACCACGGAACAGACCAGGTTACGGAAGGAATTGGTGGAGATGGGACGCAAGTTCAACCCCAACACGCTCAAGGTCCAGCTGAAGCTGGCGGTGAACCGGCTCAAGCTCGTCCAGAACAAGAAGAGCAACAAGAACAAGGCGGCGAGGAGGGAGATTGCCCAGCTGCTCGAGGCTGGCAAGGAGGAGTCGGCGAGGATCAAGGTCGAGCACATCATTCGCGAGGACTACACTGTGGAAGCCTATGAGATTCTCGAGCTCTACTGTGACCTGCTCCTTGCCCGATACGGTCTTGTCACCGCTCCGGGCGATGAGTGTGATACCGGCATCCGCGAGGCCGTCGAGACCCTCATCTGGGCCGCCCCGCGGGCAGAGATCAAGGAGCTTCCCATCGTCCGCGAGCAGCTCATTCGTCGCTACGGCCCCGACTTTGCCAAGGCTGCCATGTCGGCAGACAACGAGATCATCAACCCGCGGGTCCGCCACAAGCTCTCGATCATGACCCCCGAGGTCAAGCTTGTCAACTTGTACCTCTCCGAGATTGCCAAGGCCCACAACATCGAGTTTGACCCGGGGCTTGAGCTCGAGCCCATCGTCAACCTGTATGGCACTCCGCCGCCAAGCGGCCCCGCCCCCGGCGGGCCGGGTGCTCCCGGCGGCGGCACCGGCGGCCCGGGCGGCCCGGGCGTCTCCGCCGACCTGCGCGGCCTCTTCATGCCGGGCGCCCCGGGCATGCCCGCCGCCCCGGGTGCGCTCCCGGCCTCGACCTTCCTTGACCAGCCGGTTCCGCAGATGCAGCCGCCGCTGCAGCCGATGCCTGCCCACCAGCCGACGGCTATGCCCATGGGCCAGCCCGGCGTCGGCTACCCGGGCATGATGCAGCAGCAGCCGATGGCCCCGCAGCAGCCGGGCATGATGCACTTTTCCTCGCCCGAAGAGCGGGCCCAGTACGAGCAGTTCCTCGCCTGGCAGCAGCGGCAGGCCATGATGCCCGCCCCTGCACCCGCCCCGGCGCCTGTCAGCGATTCGCTCCCGGCATACACCCCGCCGGTCGCCGGCAAGCCCTCGCCGCAGCCGTCGCCGCAGCCGTCGCCTGCTCCCGCCCCGGCCACCGATCCCGCCTACGTCAGCCCAGGCGCACTCCCGCCAGGCTACCAGCTGCAGGCCTCTGGCCACACCCCGGCCAACCCGGCAAACCAGCCGCCGCCAGCCTCGGCCTCACAGCCGAGCGTCAACGAGTTTGGCCTCCCGATTGCCCCTTCTGGCACCCCCACCGGCGGTGCGGGCTCGGGCAGCAGTGGAGGTGCCGGTGGCGGTGCCGGTGGCGATGAAGACGTGCCCGACTTTGAGGACCTCGCCGCTCGCTTTGCCGCTCTCAAGCGCAACTAACCACCTCATCGCGCTCCGTAAACCCCAACACAGCCCATTCCGTCTCCTGCCCAATTCGCCCGTCCCGCCTTCAACTCGCGCGGCCGCCCTCCCCGCGCTCCGCGCCGTCCCAACCCCCCACTCCTCCCCACACTCGCCACCGCCCACTCGACATGACCCGCATGCCCTACAGACTACCTGTTCTCGCCATCCTTGCTCTCGTTGTGGCCTCACTCGCAGTATTTTCCCCGGCCATGGCCATGGACGGACCCGCTGCCGACGCCGCCCGTCGCCGGGTTGAGGCCCTCATCGCCCACGCCGTCGACGGATACATGGCGCACGCGGCGCCGGCTGATGAGCTGCGCTCGCTCTCGTGTCGTGGAATGGAAACCTTTGGAGGCTATGCCCTGACCCTGGTCGATGCTCTGGATACTTTGCTGATGATCGGTGATGCGCCGCGGGCCAGGCTCGCCCTCGACGCGCTGAGAGCCTCGCATCTGGCGGCAGAGCGCTTTGCCCTCGATGCCACTGTCTCGGTCTTTGAGACAAACATCCGCATCGTCGGTGGCCTGCTCTCTGCTCACGAGCTGGCGCCGGCTGTTCTTGGTCCGTCAACAAGCGTCGACGACCTGCTCGACCTCGCGGTGGCTCTCGTCGACCGCATGCTCCCGGCCTTTGACACGCATACCGGCATCCCGTTTTGTTCGATCCATCTTGTGCACGGCGTTGCGCCGGATGAGACGCCGGAGACTTCGACCGCCTGTGGCGGCTCGATGCTCCTCGAGTTTGGTGTGCTCTCGGCGCTCACCGGAGAGGCCAAGTACTACGCCGCCGCGCGGCGGTCATGGCTCGCCCTGGCCGCCGCCGCCGTCAATGGCCTCGTTGGCTCGCACATCAACGTCCAGACTGCGACTTGGACAGAGGCCAAGGCCACCATTGCCTCCAACGTCGACTCGTTCTACGAGTATGGCCTCAAGGCCGGCCTCCTGTTCGGCGACCACGAGATCCTCGACGCCGCACTCGAGCTCATCGCGTCCGCAGAGTCACGTCTCGCCCGCGGGCCTTGGTACGTCTCGCTCCATCTCACCGCCGGCAAGCTAATTCATCCGGTCGGACCCGAGCACCTCGGTGCCTTTTGGCCGGGCCTCCTCACCCTCGCCGGTGCCCCGGCCCGCGCCGCAGACATCGCCATGGCCTACACTGCCGTCCTCCGCAAGCACGGCATGCTCCCGGAGCGCTTCGACCTCATCAACAACGCCATCCCTGAAGCTACTCATCCCGGCTCGGCTGCCTGGCACCTCCGTCCTGAGCTCGTAGAGTCGTACTACTACCTCGCCCGCGCCGATCGCGACTCGGCCCGCTGGCTCCTCCACGCCGAGACCATTGTTAACGGTCTCGAGGACGTGGCCCGGAGCCCGTGTGGATTTGCTTCGGTCAAGGACGTGCGCTCTCGTCTCCGTCTCGACCGCATGGAGTCGTTTGTCCTCTCCGAGACGCTCAAGTACGCCTGGCTCGTCTTTGCCGCCCATCCCCGTGCAGACCTCTCGCACCTCCCACCGCAGATGCGCGCCCTCGTCGCTGACGATGGCTTTATCCTCACCACCGAAGGCCATCCGATTCCACTGCTCGGCCGCGACTGGTACGGCCGCCTCGTTGCCTCAGGCGCCCTGCTCCGCAGCCGCCCGTCGTCTGTACACCTCTGCAACGCCCTCCATCCCGCGGGCATCTCGCCACCGTTTGCCGGGTGGCTCGCTCTCGACACCGCCTTCCACACCGGACTCGCCGATCGCGACGCGGCCCGCCTCGCCAACGACGGCACCGACACCGCCTTTCGCATCTGTGCCGCCACCTCGACCGGTGACCCGATGTGGACCATCGTTGTCGGGCCAGACGTCGACCTCAGTGTCGTGCCCGCGCCAAGCGAGCTTGACGAGCCGGACCATGTGATCATGACTTCAATCGCCGACATAGACATCGCGAGTGGCGTCACGCCGCTGTTTGCATGGCGCGGGCCAGTGGCTCCTGCTGTCTTGCCTCTCCACGGCCGGTCGCACACACGGTACGCGGTGACAGTGGTCGAAGCGGGCGACCAGGCGGTGCTGGCGTTTCCGCCCGCGCTAGCCATGTGCTGGGAGGCGAGCGGCGCGCGGTTTGGTCTGCCGCTGCAGGCGGGAGCCTGGCGCGACGTCGCCGTGCCTACGGTGGACTTTACCTGCGCGCCGCGACCCGGCTCGGTGGGCACGGCGTTGGCGCGGCGCGGCGGATGCACCTTTGTCGACAAGGCTGCCCAAGCCCGCGCCCAACTCGGTGCCGAGCTGCTGTTTGTGGCTAACTCGCCCGGCGACGCCGAATTCATCGACATGATCGGGGTTGGAGGTGCCGACGAGGCGAGCTTGCCGACCACGCTGATGGTGAGCGCCGAGGCTGGTGACGAGCTGCTAGCGCTGGCGCGCGCAGGGCCGCGCATCCAGCTCCGGCTCCGCCGACTCGTTGGCGAGCGGCATCTGGCGTTTCAGGGCACGCGTGTCGCCAACATTGTCCTCCTCGACGACGAGGGTGACGATTAGAAAGACTACCGTGGCGCCGAGGCCGAGCGCGCGGCGACGAGGGCGCCCAAGTCGGAGAAGATCTTGGAGACCGGCCGCGACGGGAGGTGTGCATCAAAGAGGCTGGTCATGATCCGGCGCTTGTCGTCAGTGGTGAGCAAGAGGTCGTCGACATTGGCGAGCGCAGCGTGGAGCCAGGCCTGGAACTGGTCGCGCTGCGAGTAGTACATCTGCTCGATAAGGTCCTCGACCCGTGCCGCACCGCCGGTGACAAAGAAGACACAGTGGAGGGCGGCGGCAACAGCGGCCGGGCCGATCTCCCCTGCCAGCGGAACAAGGAGCTGGTGGTAGAACGCTTCCGATGGCATCGACTCGAGATAGCTCTCGGCTTCCGGGCCCGCAGTGTACTGGAAAAGGGTCTCGATGACCGCGAGGCCCTGGGTGGCGAGGCTTGGCCAGTCGGTGACCACAAGCTCGAGGGCGAGCGAGGTGACCGCCCGCACCAGCGCTGCCCCGTCGTCCGAGTCAAAGTATGTGAGGAGATTGACAAAGAACAGCATGAAGATGTCGCAGTAGACCATGATGCTCGTGCCGTGGCCCACAAGTCGGTCGCCGTCCCAAGCCGGTGAGAGAGCAAACGGATCTGGCGCGCACAGCGCAAGCAGTTGCGACGAGGCACCAAAGAAAGCGCCGGCCACAAACACGGCAATGGCCCTTGCATCGTCGTCGGCAAGCTCTCCGCCAGCGTGCTCGTCCATCAGCGCCCGTTGCGGCGAGGCGAGATCGACGACCGGTGCGTATACATCGAATACCACGTTGAGGAACTCGTATACCTCACCGAGCGGCTCGTTCAGCACCTCGACGGTGGCGCGGACGAGGTCAAACGCCGCCAGCGGTGACGCCTTCATCAGCACTTGCAGTAGCCGCAACGAGGCGGCAAGGAGGTCCAGGCCGGCGGCCGAGCGAGCGGCAAAGGCGGCAGCAGCGAGACGGTGCAGCACGCCTCCGGTCCGCTCGAGAATGGTGGCCGCTGGCGTGGCGAGGCCAGAAGCCGCAAAGTTGGTCGCCTGCCCACGCGAGCGGTGGATGCCGAGCGCCAGCCGGTGGATCAGGTTGATGCCGGTCCGCGCCGCGTCGACCGCGCCCGCCTCTCCCGACTCGACCATGTCGGTGATCGCCGCCAGCGGAGCAATGAGAGGCGAGAGGAGCGCGTCGAGCGCGGCAAGCGCCGGTCTCGGCTCCATGATCGCGGCCACGGCTGCGAGCGCAAAGGTGATGGTGCCAGCAGTGTAGTCGTCGAGGTCGCCGAGTGTGCCTGACGCCGCGAGCGGCTGACTCACAAGGCGAGTGAAGAGGGTAAGGAGCGCGTCAAACGACGGCCGCATCACTTCCTGAGCTCGCATGCAGAGCGAGTTGAGGGCGGCGGCGGCGGCCTGGTTGACGCCGGCGTTCGACGTTTCGAGCGCGGCAAGGAGATAGTTGAGGACAGCCTCGATGGCTTGCGGATGCGCCTTGAGCCAGTGCGGAAAGGCGGCGACCACCGCGAGCATGGCTTCGATAATCTCGGCGCTTGCGGCGAGGCACTCTGCATCGAGCGAGAAGAACAGCGCGCCGACAAGCGTAGTCTCGGACGGGTAGACCGAGGGCCCAAGAGCCGCGAGGCAGGCAAGGAGCGAGCGCAGGAGGCGCGGCTCGAGGCTCGCCGCCCCGGGCGAGTACAGCAGCTGCCACGGCTGGCCAGCAGTTGGCGCTGCGGCAGCGCTGCTGTCGGCATTAGCATGCTCGGCCCAGAGCTCAGTGAGCCAGCCGAGAACGACACCCGCCGACGCAACGTCGGCGATGGCGGCGACGATGGCCTCGGACGACGACGAGATCTCAGCATTGCGCCCAGCGGCGGCGAGCTGCGGCTCGAGTCGGTGCGACGCTAGATGTAGGGCGTTGCGGATGACGACGTACGAGAGGAGGGTGCGGAAGAGGTCATTGTACCGCTCGCCGAGCTGCTCAGTCACGTTGATGCTGTCGTGCGCAATGGCGCCACCGAGCGAGTCGATGAAAATGCGCCAAAAGTGGAGGACCGACGAGGTCACATCCTCGTCGTCCACGGTGAGGAGCTCGACCATGAACGAGGCGTACGCCATTGTCTCGTCCGAGTTGAGGACCTGGATGTACGACTGGTATGAGATGCCGGTCTCGACAATGAGCCGCAGGAGGACGTCGGCAATGGGCGCGCTCGCGTCAAAGCTCGAGGTGAGGGCGACAATGCGCGGAAAGACAGCCCCAACCACGTCGACATACTCGGCTTGGCTCTCAAGCATCTCGTCGTACTCCTCGGGCGCGAGCGAGTCGTACTGATCAGCGAGCTGGTGCGACATGAGCACCTCGGAGACCTCGATGATGCTGAGGAGGACGGCGGCGAGGCCCTCGAGCATCGGGCCGCGCGCAGAGACGCCGGCCAGCGAGTCAAACATGGCCTCGACCACGCCCGACTCGGCCAGCGCCTCGCCAGTCATGTAGCGGACCCACTGCGCGATGGCATCGAGCACCGCACCCGCGGCAGCCTCGGACGGGGCCGAGCTTAGGACCGAGCCGAGGAGCGAGACAACCGCAGCTGCAGAGTCGGGCGCCAGCGAAGTGTCTTCGGCCTCGGCCTGGAGGGCCGGATCAAGGAGGAGCGAGGTGTTGGCCACCTCCTCGGGGAAGAGGCGGAGGAAGACAACAAGCGCGTGCGTGCCGACGGCCTTGTCCGGCACCTGCTCGGTAAAGATGGTGACAGCATCCGAGATGACATCGGGCCACTCGGCCGGGCCCATGTGCAGCGCCAGCGCAACAAGCGCCAGCACCAGCTGCGTCTCCACCGACGAGCCCGGAACTGAGGCCGCAGCATCGACGACGAGGCCGACAAGCCTCGCCCGGACATCCAGGCGCTCATCGACCGATTCCAGCTGGTGTGCGGCAGTCAAGACCTTGTACCTCAGCGTCTGCGCAGCAAAGAGCGCAAACGGAGTCTCCATGCCCGTGCTCGACAGAGCCTCAAACGCCGCCGTCCACACACTCGCCGACACCCGCGCCCTCTGCAGCCATTGGTCCGACTCGGTCCGGTCGGCCGCCGTCGCCTCGGGGTCTTGCAGGCGGTGAAAGTGGGCAGAGAGTGCCTCCAGCGACACGACCTCTTCTGCCATGGCTTGTCTGTGGAGCGAGCTGGTGGTGGTGGCGTGAGGTAGGCTAGGCAAAGGCTGGGCGGGTGGCCGTGAGCGAGGTGTGCCGGTGGCGGTGGATGGGAGAAGGTCGTGGTTTTGCCGGCGATTGGGCGACACACGGGGTCAAGGAGGGGTAGGCGGGGGGGGGGGGGGGGGAGGGAGGCGGGGGGGGGGGATGGCGGGGCGTCCCCACTGGTCAAGCAGAGCACACTTGACGCACAGGTTTGGACGTGTACCTGTACTTCTTCTTCTCCTTCCCCTTGGCAGCTGTAGTGAAAGAATACCATGGACGTGGCTGGCTTTGAGGCGCGGGCAGCAGAGGCTGAGCAGAGGTTGAAGGCGCTGGAGGCGGCGGTGGCGGCGGGCGCGGGCGCAGGGCCGTCGTCGACGCTGGGTGTGGACTCGGGTGTGGTGGAGGAGCTCAACAAGGACAATGCACGCCTGCGGTACCAGGTCAAGCACCTCATCCGCTCGCTTGAGGCCGAAGAGCACGCCCGCGCTGAGGAGACCGGTGCCCTCCAGGCCGAGGTCGCTCGCCTCCAGTACCAGGTCAAGCACCTGGTCCGCTCGCTGGAGAACGAGGAGGCCAAGAACGCTGCCGATGCCTGAAGGACGATTGCCATCCGTGGCTCCTGCCTGCGGCTGCCGCCTTGTTGCCGCGCCGTGGGCGCCAGATCGACAGCGCTTGCGTCCATGGCCGCCGCCATGGATCTGCCCGGGCCCAGGCATGCCTTGGCCGGTATGACCGTAGATAAAACATGTCCTTGGTCACGGCATGCTTGCGATTGGAGGGGGTGGCGAGGCGGGGAGGGGGGGGGAGGTGGAGCAGTGCGACGATACGAGCAAGCGAAAAAGCGAAAGATCACCGTTTCTGACAATGCCGGGTGATGTTGACTATGTCACCGCAAACAACACCTCCATCTTGCCTGCCAGCTGGGCGATTCCGCTCCGAGAAAGGGCCATCAACAAGCTCAAAGCTCCACTCTTGCCTCTTGCTCATTCCGATGGGCGCTTCTATCTCTGCAGCTGGCGCACTGCGTGTGATGGCGGCTGGCAAACGCTCGTCGGCGTGCGAGTTGCAATGGCACAATTTTACGGTGATGATTCTACTTTCATTGCACCCGACTCCACCATGGCGACGGCAAGCGCAAGCATTGGCGTGGGGCGGGCGGGGGTGAAGCACACGACGCTGGTGTACCTTGTGGACCAGGCGGCATCGCGCATTCTTCTTGCGCTCAAGAAGCGCGGAATGGGTGCCGGCAAGGTCAACGGGCCGGGCGGCAAGGCCGATGTGAGCGCCGGCGACACCAGCATCCGGGCGACGGCGATTCGCGAGACGCAGGAGGAGATGGGCATCACGCCGACGGATCTGCAGGCGCGCGGCCTCATCTCATTTGTTTTTACCAACGACGGCGAGCACTCGTGGGACAACGACTGCACCATCTTCTTCGGCACTCAGTGGGACGGCGAGCCGACCGAGTCGGACGAGATGGCGCCCGAGTGGCATCCGCTCGACGCTGTGCCGTACGACCGCATGTGGCCCGACGACGAGCTTTGGCTCCCTGATCTGCTTGCCGGCAAGGAGGTGTACTGGCAGTTTACCTTTGACGGCGACGCCATTGTCGACTCGGCGTCGTACGCCGACCTCCCGACAATGCTCGCTGCTATCGGCGCACCCGAGGCGGCAGCGCTTGACGCGTGAGCCGGCGCTTACGACGCAGTTCACGACGCAGTACGCGCCTGGGTGCGCGCCTCGGGACGGCTCACAAAGGCGCGGATCGAGCCTGCGGCCTGGATCCGCCGCAGAAGGGCCGACATGTGCGGCGCTGCCGCGACGGCGCCGGCGACGTGGACTGGGAACGCGAGCGTGTTGGCCGCGGTGGCGACGGCCAGCAGGCCGGCTGTTTCGCCGACCTCGGCAGCGAGCCCCCACGAGGCGAGCATGCCCTCGACGTCGACGCCGTACGAGATGGCTCCATAAAACGCGGCAACCTTGCTGAGGCCAACCACACGCCGACCGATGAGCAGCGCAGCGCCGTAGGTGTCAATCGGGCCCTCGAGCTTCCGCATCCAGCGCTCAACCTTTTGCACCGCTGCCGCCGACTCGACCGACGCGTCCTCGCGCGGTGCCGTTCCGAGGAAAGAGTTGCGCGGCGTGACCAGCAGCGCGGAGACCTTGATCCGGGTCAGGATCGGGGCCAGCTTGGCCAGCGGCACCGCCGCCGCCACCCCCAGCGGGAACGAAAGCCGCGCTGTCAGTCGGCCGGCCACGTACGCCAGCGCCATTGCCGGCGATGCGCTCACTCCAGCTACCGCCAGCGCTCCGTACAGCACGCCCCAGGTCGAGAGCGCCGCCACAGGATAGCTGAGAAAGGCGCCCGTCGGATGTCTCCGCAGCGTCCGATTCAGCATCGCAACGACTGCCTCGGCACGCCCCTCCTCCTCCTTTCCGCCCTTTGAGCCTGTGGGGCTTCTACTCGCCCCATCCGCCGCATGTCCCAGCCCAGACCCGTCCCTCACATCACCGCTTCCGCCGCCACCTGCCTCGCTCGCCAGCCGCCGACTCGGCCACCCGGCCACCGCCCCCAACCCAGCCCTCCGACCAGCCGCACCCAGCACCACAAGCCGCAGCATCTCCAGTTCGGTTCGCACTCTGTCTCCCTCTCTCGGTGTGAAACGAGTGGGGTGTGGCCTAGGTAGGCCCTGGTGAGGTCCAGCGGGAAGGAAGCGGGAAGGGGGGGGAGGGGGGAGCGGGAAGGGGGGGGGAGGGCATAGGAGGGGAGTCCCGTCCCGCCCGAGGCAGGCCGGACCCTCCTCCCCTTTCCTTCCCACCATCGATCGAGT